TTTAAAACCTTCTGAAGTCAATTCTACAGGAAGACAAACTTCTGGCTTTCCAGCCATCAAAATTAATGCATCTTTCTGCTCAATAAGCCTTTTCATCATGTAGAAGGTTGTATTCCACCTAGTCGGTTCCTCCTGGATCAGCCGGTGCTCCGGAAGTCCTAATTGGTTTTGTAGTGATTTTAATAATTTTGTGTTTTTAGCAGACTTCTTAAAACTTCCAACAAGCCTTTTAGCCTACTTAACTACATTGGTGATTTTTGGGTTGTCCATACACCCATCTTTAATAACCAGCTGTAGTGTATGGGCCACACAGGCAAAGGATTCATACTGGCTGTGGCTGAGAGCAGCTGTGATGTCTGGCCCGTTGTCTCTTACGATTCCAACAATGGAATGCTGGATCCCCCATTCTTCAAAAACTTGTGTCAAAAATCTTCTCAAGTTGATGGCCGAGTGACTAACCTCTGGAAACGGAACACATTTGTGATGATGTGGTGTAGTATGAGTGTAAATGAAGACCTGGGCCCTATATATCTTCCTCTAACCACTGCCAAATCACGCACATTTCCTGCCGTAACCCAACTCTATTGCAAGGAATTGATTTAACTCGTCAAAGTGCACAATATTACCTTAGCTGCCTATCACAGCCAGCTTTTATGTCCTTAATGTATCTAATTATAATATAATGAACAGAGAAATATATATATATATGGACTTATTCTAATTCGTGAAAAAAGGTAACTAGATTTTGCAAATTGAATTCTAAATTTGTGAAATTCATTGCCAGACCACGACCATTCGAGAACCTAATAAATTACATAATTTAATTACTACCTACCCTAGCCTACACCCTTCCCCAACCCCTACGAAGCTATCTAGACATATTCTAACTTAGGTACTTATCCGGATTAGATGTACAGCTCGAGGCGGTCGACACTACACTACTGGTTCCCCTAATGGCTCGCCGTGCGTGGTTGCCGGACCGACTGCGCGCGCATCCGCGTCACGTGACTTGCGCTATTGTAGCGACTCGCTACATCCTCCCCCCGGTGGGGTTGTTTTTTTTTTCTTTTCTTGTTTTGGGGTGATTTTGGGGTTTGGAAAAGATGAGGGACGAAAAATTTTTTTTTTTTTTTTTTTTTTATTATTGTGCTCGCCGTGAGATTGTGTCGTTGTGACATCGATGTCGGTGTGGAAATGTTCCAACAGTTTTCTGCACTCCTTTTTGTTTTGGTTTGGCTCATTTGAGGTTATAATGTGTGTCGGTTTTGCTTATAAACTATTAACTATTTTTTTTCCTAAACTAAAGGTAACTATGGTTTTGAGTGAATTTCTTATAACTATGTTTGGTGGGATTGCTTAATCTAAACCTGCTCTAAAAAATGTGGGTGGGCGTATATCAGTGATAGATTTAATTAAGTTCGGTTGAGAAAGATCTGTTTGCTGATGAAACTGGATATGTGAAAGGCTTGGTGTGTTGACTTCGAAGGCATTTAGCCAACAAAAAAAAAAAGATATGACAAACTCTTCAGTTGGATATGTTAGTTCATTTAAAGTTATCTTAAAATCCGAAAAGATCAATTTAACATCTTCTATTAAGTTTAATAATTTTTGATTTTGACCGGGCATCTTGATGTCACTCACTCACTGGCGTTACTGCAACTGGGCATTTGGCATTTGGCACTGGGCATTCTAGGCATTTGGAAACAAGAGACTTTGATTCTTCACAGTAAAAGTGTGCTGTCACTGCCATGAAATCACAATTGGCAACAGATGTCCACATATCTGTTGTAATTGCAATATACTGTGCTTTGATCACTTCTCCTTTAATTTCTTTTCTTATACATGTTTAGAAGGAATTTGTTTGCAAAGGTTTTCCTTGATGAAACACTACATCTGGGTTCGAGATGGTTTAATAATCTTAAAAACCCCTCATCTTCGACTATTGTAAGTGGCTGCAGATCGAGACACATAATTTCAGCGATCAGGTTGTCAATTTTAACTGCCCTTGGGTCTTAAGCTGTAAACTTAATTTTTATTAGTCATACATTCTTTGGATAGTGGTTTGACTCTTCTTAGGAATTCTTATTGCTTTTGGGTAAAGCGATTGATTTGGTGATGGAGAACACGGTGGTGGGAGAAGAGTGTCAGGGGCTTCGCTGTCTGTCTCAAAGCATGATGAACTATCGTCTGTCCTTTCAGAACCAGGAGTAGACAGGGGTTCAATAACATTGTCTAGGCTAGTGTCAGTGTCTATTGAGAGAGGTACATCAAAACTTTCAGGCCTTGGAATTTGAAGTTGTTCATATTCACCAATCACCAGTAGGCCTCCATCAAGATCCATTTCTTCCTCTGTAGGTCAAGTTCAGGTCTTGTAATTGTTTCTGGTTTCTTCACAGGCTGTGGTTTGACAAAAAAATCTAAACTAGTTTTAGCCCTAGATGTTGACGGCGAAGATAATTTTGAAACAGGCACAAAGCATAGGCCTATCTGGAACACTAGAACTAGACGTCTTGTCCCCGGTAGGTTTGCTGGGTCCTGATTTTGGGCCAAATAAAATCTTATGTTTCACCTGTAGGTGTTTGGCCAAATTTGATGTGGATTTACTGACTCCTCCTGGTGAAAATAATTTCTTACAATAATTGCATTTAGCATAACCTGGATTGGCGAAAATGCCAAATAATTAGCCAATTATTTGGATTGATGGTAAAATGCTTCCAAACTTCCGAACTCATAATGGCTAACTTACAAAGTCAAACCTTAAACGTCAAAATTAAAACACTGAATAAGGAATTAACTTATGAATGCACCAGGTTAAAGTAACCAACAAAAAACAAAAAAACGTATTTAATGTGTACAATGGCAAACAAAATTATTGCTAAGCGGCACAATCTAGCTCGGCAACGAGAACGCACTGACTGACAAAAACAACTTAACAAGCAAGATGGCGATAATAGGCATTCTCTTAGCCACTGAGAATGAGCAAAGAAAAACGTCCGTGTCGTCTACGTCCGATACTAACTCCCCCTTTCCTTAAAAGTGGAATCGCCCAGCCATTGTCTTGACAACGGCACCGTTATCGCAGTCGCTATGAGTCACTGAGCACGCGCATCATCATAATCGTCACTCCCACCCTGCCACCCAACAATTATTTCAAGAATCCGACATTCTATTTTTTGTTGTTGAGGTATTCTACTAAAAAACAAAATTTAATATCAACTAACTATTATTATTAATCAGTTCTGTACATATATTTTTTTCGAAAAACATACTGCAACATCAAACTTTACATCACGAAACAAGGATCGGTTTGTGTTTGTACAAATGTTTGTACTGCAGAAACTACGTGAACAACAACAAAATAGTACGTAATACGAAGTATGTTGTAAATGTTAGGCCGTAAATAACTAATGCATTAGTGCGAGACATTTAGTTTAGTTATCCGGCCTTGTAATTTAAATAACAGAAAAAAAAAATATAGTGGAAACAATGTTAGAACAGAGGGAGGGTGTGTGCGAGAGAGAAAGAGTGATAGGGAGAAGGGATATAAACTTAGAGAAAAGAAACACAACAAACATAGGCGAATGGCTGGAGGGAGGGAAAGAGAAGATTGATCAACGAAATTGACCTTGGGGCATACGTAGCGACGAAGCTGTTGTCATGCGGTTACCGGGGAAGGGGGAGGGGGGCAGGCGGCCTCACGGGCTCTCACAAAAACGGTTGCACCACTCAAAAACTCAAGCCTTAAATATTTTATACTACTCGAGTACTCGCCCAGCCCTAGATAGCATAAATTATTTTCATATTATGTTTTCAGTATTCACAATTATATTAATTCAGTTGAGTCATAAATTATCAGTAGCCTACCTTTTAGAAGTACAAATAATTATCTTGCAATCAATATAAACCTATTATTTATTTTGGTAATGATTATGTTAATAATTAATTATAGTTATTTGTTGAAACAACATTTATTAAATTATTGAAGTCATTTTTAATAACAATAAAGCCAAGGAGCAGAGTAGGAGTGGGCCACTATCCCCCGCCTTATTGTCATTGCTGTATTTATTTGTTGATTTGGTTATTTTCCACGGCGACGATAGCATATCAATATGAATGTTTTAGTTTAGTTTTGTATCATAGACGATGACTCATCGACCGCTGTAACGTCGATGGGAACGAGTGGTGTTGAAATTATTACGTTGTGGGAAACTAATGATATACCGCAATAGCACGGGCAAACGACTGTCTCGAACTGACCTTGAACAGTCGTCGCGTCGGCGGATGTTTTGACTAACGCCGTTTCCTATTCGGGTCGAAGTTTGAAGGATTCGAAAGTCGAATCTTGTTGACCGATTCTCGAATCTGAATATTTCCTAAAGATTCGATGGATTCGAGATTCGAGATTTGGATTCGACACATCAATAATCGTCACAAAGCACTTTTTGGACAAAACGTGCACAACGATTTACCGTTGCTGGCCACTCAAAGGATTAAACCACTGCCTCCTCCAATCACACTATTATTTTTACAAATTTGTCTATCTTTTCTTTTACGTCTAAAATCACCAACGGTCACTTCTCCAACTCCCAAATCAACAGCCCCTTTTTATTCATCTTTGTCCAGTGGTTTATCACACTAAATTTAATTACTAGAGAAAACATTGTTTTAAACTCATATTAATCACAGATTAGGCCTACACAAACAATGCCAGAACACAACATAGAACAACGAGTAATACAACCGTTGTTTTTGTTCTGATGATTAGCTCGGTAGATCCGGAGGCTCGGTTAATCGGGGCTCAGATAACCGGGAGTTTACTGTAGATTTTTATAATGTTACTAAGCTGAGAATTATTCATAATCAGCATTTTATACATTAGAGATGGAAATTTACATATTTCACAGTACAGTGTCATAAAAACAAAACGTGATAGTGATTTGATTATTCTATCAAGTGGGTTGTGTACAATTTATATGATAATAATCATAATCACCTTTCAGCACCCAACTGGCTGTTGAGTGTGTGGGACCGAGGTCCTGCGATGGCTGTCACTCCAGACGGTCTACGTTGTCAGTCGCGCGAGCAGAAGGAGTGGCACGGCTGTCGTGCCAACAAGGGAGTGTTTGGCAGCGGCAAGTACTTCTACGAGGCTACTGTCACTGATGAGGGGCTGTGTCGAGTCGGCTGGTCCACACAGCAGGTAGGATTGTTGTTTGACAGTTTGTGGCTCATATTTTTTTGGTTTCATAATTTCTGGAGCTTTAAAAATCGAGAAATATTTTCAAATTGAATATTTTAAGATTTTTCTTACCTGAGTTAGGGTATTTTAATTTAATAACGGGTCCGCAATCTATTATCTGCTTCCATTTACTTCAAATGAAAGTTTGATCAGACCAGATAGTTATTTTGATTTATCCAACACACTCTGTGATACAACACTATGAAGAAAAAGTAATCCGAAATCAACTCAATATTAGAATTTTCATTCTTGTTTTCACAGGAGTTCGTCGGTTGCGGTTTTTAGTCCGATTCCACTATCCTCAGTGGTTCCGGAGGAAAGTAGTGTTTATTAGGAAGAACAAGTGTCTAATTTTTTAGGATCCAAACTAATGTGCAATACAAGAAGGCCTAATTGCATTTGAAATATAGGGTAAAGTAAGCCACCAATTATCAACAGGTTAAGAAGAAGGGTGCCAGATATGTTGTTTTCCAAATAATTGCCTGTATTCATAAAACTTTTCAGGGTTGTTCCTTGATTGTTAAGCTTTACTTTGGTTGATCTTCATTCGGCAGGTACTCTTCTAGCAGGGTTGGATCACTGAGCTCTTCTGATGTTTCAGGTTGTGTTACTTGGGGTGTTTCATATTGAGTTGTCTCCACTGTTTCTCCAGGTCTTGTTAGATTTTTTAGGTTGGCAATTTCAGTTTTGATACCTTTCCAAAGTTAAAACAATGACTTATCTTCTACACTCACATTTTCTCCATTTAAGAATGAAGTCAGCACTCCAGGTTCTATCCTACTTTCTAGAAAGTGGAGGTGGCGTTGCAGAGTCAAGATATTTTTTGGCGTTGATGTTTTGGTGGCTGTTGTTTTGTCTAGCAATTTAGTGAGGTTTGCTTCTTTTGCACCAATTGAAAGGAGCCCGTAGGTTTTGAAGCTGTTTTGAATGGTCTTGGATTAATCGCTCTACATTCCAGGAATTCTTTAAGTAGCGGTGTAAACTCTTCGTTTTTTAGTTTTCTCCCTCCATTGTCAAATTGCCACTTATACACTGCCCCGCCGCCGCCAAGCAGCCTTCAAGGGGTGCAATGATGGCTGCAAGATGTGAGTTGCATTTGGGTAGAGAGCAACGAGAATGATATTTTTCTCTGAGCACAGTTCGCTCAATTCTAAGCCTCATGTACAACATTTCCTATATACTCATAAAATGATTGAGCCACCCACACTCAGTTTTTCCTGCACCCCTTTCGTCGGGATACTGGCAATCACTTTTGGTAGCCATCCGTCATATGGATAAACAACCATGGGAGGAGCCAGACTTCTAGAATTCCAACTGAACACTTCAAAAGAACTGTGAAATTGTCTTTGTCACTGCTTCCTGAAACCCTGTAAACAGCTTTTTCTCCCCAACCAACAAACACTTTTCCTTTGTCTGGACAAAGGAAAAAAGCAGTGTCGTCACAATTGAATTCTCTGGATGAGTCCTCCACAATACAGAGCAAGTGGTTTAATAAGTAGGTTCGTACTTCTTGAAACCAGTTGCTGGCCCTACTAGTTTTCATATTTTGGCATTCTCTTAAAGAGAGCTGAGGATGCCTCTTTAAGAAACTGTTATCAACCCATCTTTTGGCTGGATCTTCAGTTTGAAAAAGGTTGATTTACATATATACACGGTATGAGGACACGATCACTCAGATTCACTAGACTGACGTGCACGCTTCCTACCTTTTCTGGTAGGCCTAAAATAGTGGTCCAGCAAGTGATAGCAGTTTTGGTGGATTCCTCCATTACAGCCATTGGACACCAATAGGTTGTTTTCTTTTTCAGTTTTTTTTCCCAGGCACACAATACAGAGGCGGTTATTTTCGCCTGGCAGCTTAGAGAGCTCATGTCGAGGTCCCAGTACATCTCCAGCAGGTTCTGGTGCATTCTCAACTTGAACTTGGTCTGTGGTCAACTCCTCAATGATGCTGATAAGAAAGTCTCTATGATTTTTCTGTTGTTCTTTATCTGTGTTCGCTTTGTACAAGATAAATGCATTGTGCAGCGCCATACTGATGAAATTCACAAATATCTGTTTCCAGTATCGCCTGGTAGGCCTGCCACAAGAAAAATGGTACATGGTTTTATCCTTGACATCTACACCTCCCATATCAGCATTGTAGTTTGCTATTAGAACTGGTTTTAATGCTTCTCTTCCTTCTTTACTTAGCACTTGTTTATCTTCTGTATGACAGGCGGGTGTCAGACAGTACACAGGTTTCCGCTTCTTTTTTCCTTGTAGCCTACAAGAAGGACATTTTTCTTTCTAAAATACACTGTCTCACCAACTCCAAGATTTCTCTTTGGCAGACTTTTTGACAAACCTTTAGAGCTCTTCCTTACTGTGCCTGTAAGGTAAGTTTTTCATTTAGCAGGGCTTCAGCGAGAGGAATCTTGGTATACCAATTGTCAGTAAGCAAGTGATAACCTTTTCCCAGTAAACTACACTTGGCCAATAAATCAAAAACTACTTTTTGGGCCAAAGGTTCATCTCCATCTTAAAGGACATCTTTCCCACTGTATAGTTCGGAATGGAGCACATAAGAGGTCTCACTGTCACACATTCTCATGGATTACTCTGGCATTATTCAATGTGACATCAAAGAGATAAAAAAACCATTTCTTATACCCTTTCATACACCTCGCATCACTGGGAAGCATGAGAGTCGTTGGTCCTGTTAGTCTACTCCGTTCATGTTGTTATAGTTTATTACAACATTTGGGTTTAGTTGTGGTTGTGGATTAGAACGTCTTTTCTCTCTTTGAGGAATGACTTCCTCATATTCTGATCTGGTATGGATTGTTGATAACATGGCTACATCCTTTCTGTCCATCCACTTCAGGGCTAATATTTTCTTAATGTGCAATAAGTTAAGTTCACCTTGTTCAAGCTGTTTCTTTTTTATTTATTTTGGGAAATTGGTTCTGTCAGACCTCACAACCCCTACACTATATGTATGTCTGTTCAATAGCTCTAAAAAGAGTTTTGGTGAACTATAAAAGTTGTCGAAATATAAAACCCCACCTTCATCCAACAGATCTGCTTAAATTTCCAATACTATTTTCTCACTGAGTAAAAAAGTTTTCTCTGAGTTTGCAGCATTTTCAGTCTGATTTTCACCAACCTCAAGATTTTCTGCGTTGTCAGGATCATCTGCATTCTCCTAATTTTCTTCTTCGGGCTGTACGTCCGTCTCTTTGCCAGTATACATTTTAATGTTATAACAGGAGCCAGTTTTAGTGTCATTCAATTAGTATATTTTTACACCAAACCTAGCTCGTTTTGATGGATTGGACTGTATATAACTCAGTCTGCCTGAAAATTTTATTAGACTTTCGTCAACACAAATTTCTAAACTGGATTTTTCCCAGCCTTGTGACCAACACCAATTGAATCAAATACCCCATAATAACCAACAAATTTAAAAAAAAGCCTAAGAGATACACCTGTATGTGAGAATAAATAAGCTAAATGAAATACAGTTTTTTTTTTATTTCGAATAAACATTGTTTATTTGTTGTTGTTTTTTTTCTTATGTAAAATGATTACCAAACAAATTTTAAAATGCCAAATAGGCACAGTTAAGAAATAACTCATAACTGAAGTGTCGTAAGATGATTTTGGATGATAATTTAGTATTACAGTACTGTATTTTCAAAAATCATGAGTTTTGGTATTTGTACACCCTCCCCCAGCCCTGTACGGATAAGATTATCAAGAGTTAATAGTATTTTTGATTTAGAAATTTTTGAAATATTGAAAATCAAGTAAAGTTTTATTTAAGTTTTTATTATACTTTTTGTAGTACAACATGACTCTACTTACAGGCTAGCCTGGACCTCGGAACTGATAAGTTTGGGTTTGGCTTTGGTGGAACGGGTAAGAAGTCTAATGCCAAACAGTTTGACAACTATGGAGAAGCATTTGGTATGCATGATGTGATCGGTTGTCTCTTGGACTTGGATAATATGCAGATAAAGTTCTCAAAGAACGGCAAGGACTTGGGGCTCGCCTTCACTATCCCTGCAGCTCTCAGAGATTCTGTGTTCTTCCCTGCCGTAGTGCTCAAGGTATTGGTCCATCTCTGCAACCTAGCGATGTAAATCACAGCTACTTATTGGTAACGTTAGCAGACGTTCCGTGCCAGGCCGGTAAAAGGTGACTTTTGTCACCTAATACTGCCCCAAGTCACGGGTCCGCCCAGAACAAACAGCTGCTAAAAGGTGACTGTAACTGCTTACAGAAATGAAGTGCCAAGAAGTGATGGAGTGACACGGGAGCTCTTGACATAGTCCGTCACATGACAGTCACTGTCATTGTTTAGCACTGCATATCATGCAGCCTATTTCCAGTCAATTCAATACTTCTTTTCACTTAAAGTTTTCTTAAATTTGAAACTATGTTTTGACCCGCTTAGATCACACTGGGCTGTTTTATCATTAGGGTCTTTTTGTGAAAAAATAAGTCCATAGATAACTTGTTTTTTGTTTAGTTTTTGACATGATTGTCACTCTAAAAATATAAAACTATTTATTCAGTAAAACACGTTTCACAAAAAAATTGATGCACATCAAGTTTATAATATTTTAACAGACATCGTTAGTCATGTTTAAAAGAAATACAACACCAATCTGTATTTTACATATATTAACCTAATAATAGCTAGCTTGAAAATTGTGTAACTTATACAAAATTGATATTTCTGTAAAGTAGGTATTTGCTATCTTAGGGGATTTAGGTAGTAATTAATTTTTGTTCAAGCAAAAACTCAAACTATTATCATTAAAACGCACTTTAAAAGATCATGGTGAGCTTAACCATTTAACTATTGGATACTGAAGTAGACATCCCATCTATATGGACCAGCTGTCACTAATTTTTCATTAAAAAGAATATAGTTCTGTGAGCCAGTCACAGAATGCGCTAGAGTCAAAAGATTAATTATAACAGTTGCTATAGCACACAATAAGTCAGCCCATTAGTTTGACTTGGTAAAAAAGTTAGTGTATGGTATTCGGCAGAAATCAGTAATTTAGATCAGCGCAATCTATTTAGAGTAAAAAACTGGTGACAAATTTTATGTGGGACTAGAATGTCTAGTTGTATTAGTCAAAGCTATGATATTTTTTTTAATTTGATGCAGAATGCTGAGATTTCCTTTAACTTTGGAGCCCAGCCGTTCAAACATCCTCCACCGTCTGGGTTTGTTGCTGTTTGTCAAGCTTCCAAGAGTAACGTCAAGAACTCAGAAGTGACTGGAGCTGCAGCTGTGGTCACCAAGAAGGTCAACAACGCTCCTCAGGCCATCATCATCGAGGTGCTTTCTTTTTGCATTTCTTATATAATATTACTAGGTACAAATTATTACAAATACGACAAGTCACTTTTGTTGTTATCCCTGTTTTCTTTACTTCATTGCCGATCAGCTAATATGCATTGTTTCATAAATAACTATGAGTTTGGTGCTATTGAACATTTATTGTAAATAAGACTTAACTTGGTATTATTGCATGCTCAAATAGAGTATGTAATGTAGGTCTACGTTTTTTTCAGTTTTCTTTTCTACGGATCTGATTTCCTTAAATCTGTGACGATTCTATGAATAGTTGTCTTTATAGTTACTGGAATCACACATGGAAACTTAATTTCAAACCTATCTTGGCCTAAAACCAATTATTTACTTTTAATTTACAAAACATACTCTTTGAGCCTGCGAAAACCTCAAGTTGAGTTTTATTCACAATAAATTCCTAATAAGCTAACGCTAAAACTCATAGATAACTATGCAACGGTGTTTATTAGTTGATTGGTAATGAAGTAAAGAAAACAGGGACATGTAAGCTTGTATTGTTGTTAAAAAATGTCTTTACGATACTTGTAATTAGGGTCGTGTTAAAATAAAAAAAAAATTGTAATCTTACTTATTGCTGGTACTCTGCATTATCAACACTTTGCATACAGATATCCTGCTATTTTATATCTTCTTCTCTTCTTTCCAGCGTTCTTAGGTCTCTTCCAGTTCTGATTTCTGTGTTGTTTAGTAAAATATAGTTATTAAGTTTCGCTGACAAAGCTGTTTGATATATTAATTATTCTTCAAAATTCAATACTGCAAACCTAAAAATATTAGAGGAAAGTTGGATTAATTCGACATTCACAGCAAAGTTATCAGTTTTTTTTTTTAAATATACTTTTTTACCAACAGAACCCCCCCCATGGAACTTATTCTTGGCCTTGTAAAGCCAGAGTAAAATTTTGCAAATTTCCTAATCGTGATACATTTAATTTCCTTCTATTCTATCTTGTCATAAATATTCAAAAAAAAACGTCGTCATCACATTGCAATATTGACAAATTATAATCCAACCTAAATGTTCATTTTTTCTTCTTGGTTATGTTCCAGCCATCGCGGGAGTTAGCAGAACAAACATTCAACCAGATAACCAAGTTCAAGAAGTACCTGGAGAACCCCAAGATAAGAGAACTGCTGGTGGTTGGAGGTGTTTCAATCAAAGATCAGATATCCAGTCTCAGTGCGGGGGTTAGTTATTAGTCTGTAAATATAATTAAAACTACCAAGTTCATTTTCCACTAGAATTCTTGTTTGCTTTTAAAATTAGTTAAAGAAAGTAACTACTTCATTTAAACCCGTAGAACTTCTAAAGATGATATATCAGGCACATGAGTTACAATAAACTTTCACTCACAAACTAATAAAGTAATGCTGTACGATTGATCCTCCTAGTGAGGATAAGCACAATCTCGGTGTTATAAATCTCCAAGGAAAAGCGGTGGTTATCGTCCATCTTATCACTAGACCCATGGTCAAGGCCAAAAGCCTCTGCAGCTCATCAACGTTCTTGGCTGACGATATCATCTGTATTACCAATAAGGGAAGTCTCATGAGGCATTTCCACCTGGCAGTCTTTGTGCTTGACGAAGCTGATGGTTTACTCAAGCTCAGTTCTGATGTCCACAGGTAGACATAGTGGTGGGTACTCCAGGCAGGATGGAAGACCTCATCTCTGGTGGCCAGCTGTCTCTCACTCAGTGTCGGTTCTTTGTGCTTGGCTAAGCTAGTGGTTTACTCAAGCTCAGTTCTGATGTCCACAGGTAGACATAGTGGTGGGTACTCCAGGCAGGATGGAAGACCTCATCTCTGGTGGCCAGCTGTCTCTCACTCAGTGCCGGTTCTTTGTGCTTGACGAAGCTGATGGTTTACTCAAGCTCAGTTCTGATGTCCACAGGTAGACATAGTGGTGGGTACTCCAGGCAGGATGGAAGACCTCATCTCTGGTGGCCAGCTGTCTCTCACGCAGTGTCGGTTCTTTGTGCTTGACGAAGCTGATGGTTTACTCAAGCTCAGTTCTGATGTTCACAGGTAGACATAGTGGTGGGTACTCCAGGCAGGATGGAAGACCTCATCTCTGGTGGCCAGCTGTCTCTCACTCAGTGTCGGTTCTTTGTGCTTGACGAAGCTGATGGCCTACTCAAGCTCAGTTCTGATGTTCACAGGTAGACATAGTGGTGGGTACTCCAGGCAGGATGGAAGACCTCATCTCTGGTGGCCAGCTGTCTCTCACGCAGTGTCGGTTCTTTGTGCTTGACGAAGCTGATGGTTTACTCAAGCTCAGTTCTGATGTTCACAGGTAGACATAGTGGTGGGTACTCCAGGCAGGATGGAAGACCTCATCTCTGGTGGCCAGCTGTCTCTCACGCAGTGCCGGTTCTTTGTGCTTGGCTAAGCTAGTGGTTTACTCAAGCTCAGTTCTGATGTCCACAGGTAGACATAGTGGTGGGTACTCCAGGCAGGATGGAAGACCTCATCTCTGGTGGCCAGCTGTCTCTCACTCAGTGCCGGTTCTTTGTGCTTGGCTAAGCTAGTGGTTTACTCAAGCTCAGTTCTGATGTCCACAGGTAGACATAGTTGTGGGTACTCCAGGCAGGATGGAAGACCTCATCTCTGGTGGCCAGCTGTCTCTCACGCAGTGCCGGTTCTTTGTGCTTGGCTAAGCTAGTGGTTTACTCAAGCTCAGTTCTGATGTCCACAGGTAGACATAGTTGTGGGTACTCCAGGCAGGATGGAAGACCTCATCTCTGGTGGCCAGCTGTCTCTCACGCAGTGTCGGTTCTTTGAGCTTGGCTAAGCTAGTGGTTTACTCAAGCTCAGTTCTGATGTCCACAGGTAGACATAGTGGTGGGTACTCCAGGCAGGATGGAAGACCTCATCTCTGGTGGCCAGCTGTCTCTCACGCAGTGCCGGTTCTTTGTGCTTGGCTAAGCTAGTGGTTTACTCAAGCTCAGTTCTGATGTCCACAGGTAGACATAGTTATGGGTACTCCAGGCAGGATGGAAGACCTCATCTCTGGTGGCCAGCTGTCTCTCACGCAGTGCCGGTTCTTTGTGCTTGGCTAAGCTAGTGGTTTACTCAAGCTCAGTTCTGATGTCCACAGGTAGACATAGTGGTGGGTACTCCAGGCAGGATGGAAGACCTCATCTCTGGTGGCCAGCTGTCTCTCACTCAGTGCCGGTTCTTTGTGCTTGGCTAAGCTAGTGGTTTACTCAAGCTCAGTTCTGATGTCCACAGGTAGACATAGTTGTGGGTACTCCAGGCAGGATGGAAGACCTCATCTCTGGTGGCCAGCTGTCTCTCACGCAGTGCCGGTTCTTTGTGCTTGGCTAAGCTAGTGGTTTACTCAAGCTCAGTTCTGATGTCCACAGGTAGACATAGTTGTGGGTACTCCAGGCAGGATGGAAGACCTCATCTCTGGTGGCCAGCTGTCTCTCATGCAGTGTCGGTTCTTTGTGCTTGGCTAAGCTAGTGGTTTACTCAAGCTCAGTTCTGATGTCCACAGGTAGACATAGTGGTGGGTACTCCAGGCAGGATGGAAGACCTCATCTCTGGTGGCCAGCTGTCTCTCACGCAGTGTCGGTTCTTTGTGCTTGGCTAAGCTAGTGGTTTACTCAAGCTCAGTTCTGATGTCCACAGGTAGACATAGTGGTGGGTACTCCAGGCAGGATGGAAGACCTCATCTCTGGTGGCCAGCTGTCTCTCACGCAGTGTCGGTTCTTTGTGCTTGGCTAAGCTAGTGGTTTACTCAAGCTCAGTTCTGATGTCCACAGGTAGACATAGTGGTGGGTACTCCAGGCAGGATGGAAGACCTCATCTCTGGTGGCCAGCTGTCTCTCACGCAGTGCCGGTTCTTTGTGCTTGGCTAAGCTAGTGGTTTACTCAAGCTCAGTTCTGATGTCCACAGGTAGACATAGTGGTGGGTACTCCAGGCAGGATGGAAGACCTCATCTCTGGTGGCCAGCTGTCTCTCACACAGTGTCGGTTCTTTGTGCTTGACGAAGCTGATGGCCTACTCAAGCAAGGCTACACAGAGCTCATTGACCGTTTACATCGACAGATTCCCAAGATTACCTCAGATGGCAAACGCCTGCAGATGATTGTGTGCTCAGCTACTCTTCATGCGTTTGAAGTGAAGAAAATGGCTGTAAGTTACGAAGTAGTTAAGTGTTTTATTTTATAACATTACAAACATTAATATTGATTACACATAGTGATGAGAAAATTTGACATTTTTGAATCTCAAATTCGAATTTTGTCTTTTCGAATCTCGAATTTTTTGAACCTTTAAGGCGATTCATATTTTTTTAGCTTTTCCTCTCTCAGTCATTAAATAATGTTGCATTAATTTGTGTTGTTAAGCCAAAGCCACATTAAAAATTAGATGAATACAATTAATAAGTTTCATTGTAGGCCTACATATACAGTACATTTCATTATTACTTTATCTGTTACTTTTGATTAGGTAACCTATGTAATATAGGCTATGAACAGTATGAACTTTGTCAATGCTATATAAAATTGTACAAAGTCGAATGAGAATAAACTTTTAATTATATGTGATAATAGAAGCACTGCTCAAATAGACGTTTAGGTTAGTTTAGACTAGTGTATGTGCTATTTGTTAGTCAACTTAAAATGATCAGTTAAGAAGAGTCTATTGTTTAATCAATCTTCTAACCAAACCAAACCTAACCTAATTGGCACTATAAGAGTGACCAATCACTGACTGATCTTGATCTACGATGAAAAAATACCAGTTAACAGTATTTACATGCATGGATAAATGAGTATCAATTAAAGGGAAAATAAAAATCTAGACCAAGAGACTGTAAAAAAAAGAAGCCTATTTTATTTATACCTACAAAAAACAAGATAACATACAACTACTTAGGTATCAGTTATGGTTTAGACATACAACAATATAAACCAAACCAACACAAAGTAACAAAAACCAGAAAAATAATGAATTACATAGGATTAAAACTGTACAACATCTTGCCTAACAAACTTAGATATAAACACGCTCCCTATCTTTAAAAAACAGCTCAAACAATACGGTACTTCAATAATCAACCTTACACAACATACAGAATATCAGGAAGAAAATACATTTCCCATAAAGTAATGCTCCAACACAAATCATACATTCACCCTACAACACTACACACAATGAAGAAGCAAGTTAGAAGAACGATGAAAAAGAAGGACTGCGGTGAGGATTCCGATGGTAAATGGGGTGGATGGTAGGCCTATGTACACATCAATATTCAATACGTTATTGTAAGTATAGCTACTTTATCTTGATAGTTGGATCAAATCAAATGCAAATTTTAAATAAGAGAAATAATTCTTAAGATAACGTTTCCTTTAAACAACTACTTTCACTCAGTCCTCCTAACGAAGATTTTTATTTTAAAAAACCAGCATCTTAACCCGTTCGGGATCAAGCCGGTTCCTCTTCTTGTCGCAGACAAGTCCTGCAGTGCTGAAGAGTCGCTCGCTGAACACTGTTGCTGGCGGTATACATAATATTTCATAGCAACTTGTTTTAATCTAAAAGAGCTGCTGATATCCCAATATTCGAATATGCTCTTCTCTTCTCCTTGTAGGTGTATCAGGCCTTCTTCTAAATACTGCTGAAGTTCATTTTCCAAGGTACGCTGAACTGTCGAAGAAATTGGGCTTACATTGGCAAAAGCCTGAGCGTAGTGAGACCAAAAGCTGAGCTGTTTTGACTCATCCAGAGAGTGAGACGTTTCTTCCTGCTCGACGGATGTGTTAGAAGATCCTTAACTTTCCTCATTTCTGTCAGTATTCTTTTCTTAGCCTCTTCCAAAGCTTCTTTGTTCTTGAAAGGAACTGCTTATCTTGGGTCAAGTATGGTGGCCACTGCCAAGTTGACATTTTTTCAATATCGGCATATCGTCTTTTCAAAGACGAGACAATATCATTCTTAACGCCCATCAGACCAGAACCCGTAACATCCGTGTTGACCAGGAAATTCTCCATTGTGTTTATCAGAGGAATTACCTGAAGAAAGAAATAGGCTTAGAACTTTATAAGGAAAACAATTTGAGTTTAGGTACTTGCGTATTATACGGACCACAACCTTACAAAGCACACTACGGCGGCTAGGTTAGTTAGTTGTGTGGTCTTTATTCACTCATTTACCAAACATAACCTAGTCTAACCGAACCCAAAAAGGTTGTGGCCCAGCTAATGTAAGTAGCCTATAACAATTTAGTTTAGTGCAAAAAATGTTGTTGTTAAAGTTAGTTGTCTGAGTATGCCTAAAGGGTTTTTATGCTGTTGTTAAAAAAATTTTATTAGGTTCATGTAATCAAATGTATGTTTGGCCAAACTTTCACCAAGTTGCATGTGTTAAGTTTTTACATTACCTTAATCTGATAAGGATTTGATGAATAGGCCCAATAAATAACAACTGAAATTATAATCAATAAAACATCATTTCAAAATAGGCCTAGTAATTTTTTTTTTTTAGAATCCTATTTATCCCTCCCACGTTTTTCTAGCTTAGCTTGATTCCTAAATATTTCCTAAGCCTAACCAATGATAACTTAATTCAGAAATTGTAGAAGCTTCCTTGCTGACTTGTCTGGTTGCAGTTTCGAAGATTTCTAGAATATCAACAGCCGCTTTCATTGTCTTAAAGTCATCCGAAGTTAGTTCCACTGTGAGATTGATGTCCGCCCGTCCAGATATTAATATTAGAGCATCTTTTTGCTCAACGAGCCTTTTGAGCATATAGTATGTCGTGTTCCATCTCGTTGGCTCCTCTTGAATCACTCTATGCTCGGGTAGCTCTAGTTGTCTCTGGATACTTTTTAGTACCTTCGTGGTTTTGGCTGACTTTTTGAAGTTGCCAACAACTTTTCTTGCTTTTTTGATAACATTGCTTATCCTTGGATTGTCCAAACAGTCATCTTTTATTACTAACTGCAGTGTATGCGCTACACAGGAGTACGCCTGGTAATCACTACCATTCAGTGCAGCTGTAATGTCTGGTCTGTTGTCACGAACAACTCCAACTACTTTCGATTGAATCCCCCATTCATTGAAAATTTCTTTTCAATGATTTCTTCTTCAATGGTTCTTCTTTTGTTCACAGTTTGAACAATGGTTTGCAATGGGCTCGGTGTTGGGCATTACATACAATTCTTACTGCTATTTTTTGCAACAGAAGAACGTTGTGGGTCCTGGTGGAATGACCGTGCCTAGCACCATACCCAATGTGAGATTGGAAAAAAGCCAAGAAAGCATATTTAAGGAAAACAAAAGGCATATCACTTTTAAGTCTACGCAACAAGAAAATGACTCTACTTAACTTTGAATAAAGTGAGTCTATGTGGTCACTCCAGCTTAGGACAGAGTCAAGAGCAAGGCCAAGCAGTTTTACAGGAACAGTATCACTCTGTGTGTTCAATCTGGTTCTACTTATATTAAAAATTATTGACTGTGTCTTATCTTTGTTCAGAGCAAGCTTATTATTAGAAAACCACTCTGCTGCTAGTTTAAAGTTAGACTCAACAGTTTCAACGGCTACCACAGGGTCTACATGGCTAGCAAACAGCGTTGCATCATCAGCGTACAACAGCACCTTTGTGTCAAGTCTGAAATATATGTCATTCATGCAAACAATAAACAGGAAGGGGCCCAATATGGAACCCTGGGGCACACCATACTTAACAGGCAATGGGGCTGATTTAGATCTAAATATGTATCAAAATCTAAGTTGTGGTTTGCTGCATGTATTGCAATGGTTTTGTATTGGTTTGTTTTAACATACTGTCTATGTCCATTCATCCTTTTTCTTAGAGTGTGGGTGGTTAGGCCTATATATTAAGATCAGGTTTTCACTATTGGGTGTTACATGGTCCTTTATTTTGTACTCTTTGTTGTAGGATGTGCTGGTGAAGGTTTCTGCAGGAATGTTGATGGCAGAGGTCTTGCATTTAGTTTCATTGCAAGGGTAGGAACCTGGGGGCAGTCTTGGAGGTGGTTCAACAGACGGGTCGGGTAACTCGGGATGGACTAGGATGGTTTTTAGATTGGCTGGTTGTCTGTAGACTATGGTGGGGTTTTTTGCTAGAGATCTTTAGTCTGATTGGAGCTTCGAAGCATGTTGTAGCCGGTTCTCAAAAGGTTATTGAGCCTGTTGAAACCTGGGTGTTAAGTAGTCACCAGGTTGACATCGTAGGTGGTTTTGGTTCTCTTTGGTGGATTATCAGCAGCATTTTGGGTCGCTTTTATCTGCGAAGAGACTGTTTGTGTTGGGTATCCTCTATTTTCAAAAGCAGTTTGGAGTTGTTTATTGTAAATTTCAGATTCTTCCCGTCGGAGTTTATTTGTTTCCCTCTTAAGACAAAACTGTAGGGTAGGGAGCGTTTGGTGTTGTTGGGATGGCAGCTGTTGCAGTGTAGGTACTGTTGGTGGTTGCTGGGTTTGGTGTAGACAGATGTAGAGATTGAGCCATTTTTCAGTTCCACCACGACGTCAAGAAAGTGAACCGCAGTTTCAGATAATTCCCAAGTGAATTTTAATGTTGAGAATGTGTTTAGGCTGTTTAAAAAATGGTTGAGGCTATTTTGTCCATGGGAAAAAATGAGAAAGATGTCATCTATGTATCTAAACTAATAGGTTGGTTGTAGAGTCATTTTATGGGCAAACTTGTAAATGACTTTCTGCAAAAACAGAATTCCTTGCCCTATAGGCCTAAATGTCCAAAGTCTATAGGCTACTACAATTTAATTTATATACTAGCTATCAAATATTAAATTAGAGATCCAAGGAAGAACACAAAACACATACACAAGGTGTGTAAATGAATAAATGCTTTTCAACAAAATTACTCTTAGTTAACGGGCTAGACCGATTTAGTATTTATTACAACCTAGGCTTAATTGAGTTTAAAAATAAACTTCAGTGTAGAACAGAACAAAAGTTTCAGATTGTAGCCTATTAATTAAGCTTAAGCATATTTTTTATTTGTTTAATTACAGCTAATCTGTATAGGTCTACTCAAAATAATCATCCTAGTAAACCTTATATATAATACATGAAGGCGATTTCTACGAAACACTACTCCTCCATTAATAATTGACGGATTTTTACAAACGAGGTGTCAAAATTAAGTATTTGTGTGTAGACGCCCCCTTTCACCAATTCCTGTAATAAAAGTCCTCGGGCTTTGCCCCACAGGCCATCAAAATCTTAATGTATTTTTTATGAAGAAAAGATTTTGTTTACTTAGACAGACGAATAATTTGTATTAATTGCATACTGAAACATCTGTTTATAGTAAACGCATGATACACTTAAGAGCGATCGTTTTCAGAGTGAGTTCATTTTCAGTTTTGAGAACTGGAGTGGAGTGAGCGTTTTTCAGTTTCGATAACCTGAAATTTGGTGCCTGAAAGTTGAGGAACTGAAACCTCTGTTGGCTTTGTCTCCTTAGAAAAGAAAGATATAGCTTCACCCACAAATCTATCTTTCAATAGTAATTTTTCATGTGGTTTCAGTAAAACACACTTAAAATGAGGGTCTACTGCCATAGACACTTTATACAGGTTTTCTGATTTTATATTGTAAAACCTAGTCTTCATAGATAAAAGTAAATTTCTACAAAATGCTGCGCCAGGTTTCTTTTTGCGCAATCTTTTCTCCAAAATATCTTCAATTGTCGATACTAATAGATAAACCATTGACATAGTCTGCAACTTGCTGGATGATGCTTTTGTAGTTGTCTCATCTAAAGGGCATTAAAATGTCAATATATTCCTCAGCCATCTTCCATCCAGCCACGGAGAGGTTGTTAATATTGCTCCTTGAGGATATCAACTCACAAGACAACTGATTATCTGGTACTCCAAGTTCCAACGAGTTTCACAGTCTTGCACCACACCAACTCGACTTCTATCTTACCTAGATTCTTTTGATAAGAATGAAGTCTCTGTTGAGCTGATGAGCTTCTTTTGTAATGGCCTACAATGGAACTGGTTGCAGACAGCATACTTATCATTCCAGTTGTATTTTTTTGTGTCTAAGTGATAATTGCAGTGTGTGCGCAAAACATGTCACAAGTGTTCATGGCTGCAACCATATTGGCAGCATTGTCTGTGACTGAAAATATGGGAACGGTTTCATCCTGCATCCCCCATTCGGTTGCAATGTGTTTTATCTTATCTGCGATATGAAGCATCGTGCTCACTGGGAAGATATTCGTTCCCTAGACAAAATCTTTTCATCTTGTAATCTTCTGAAACGTAATGGAGGGTGAAGGAAATAATGGGATCTTTTTGTTATTTCTTGATGTCCATAAATCCATGGTAAAACTTAATGACATCACATTGGTAAGATCATTTTCGATTTCTTTTAACAAACTTAGCTTGGTTGGTTCATAAAGCTTGGGTATTACCCGTCTTGAAAAGGTTTTCCTAGAAGTCAGTTTATATTTAGGAGAGGCCTCCTTTAGTACGTAAATAAGCCCTTCCTCCTCTACTAGTGAATACAGGTGGAGAATCTTGGCCATCCATATCTCTATTTTGTTTGTTAAGGATTTCGCCTTGGACTGATCAGATGGCCAAGTCGTTTGCAGGTCTATGCATTGCCCTAAGGTTTGTTGTTTTTTATAATCTTTTTGAGCTTTTTTTGCTTCAACAACTTGTCTTTTTTGGATTGTTCTTTTTGAAATTCATCTGCCTATTTTTTATGTTTTGCAGTTTAAGTGCCTCTTTAGGCTTCTTGTACTACCGGTCTTTATGCCTATTTTGGCTTGGCATACATTACAAATAGCCTTACTGGGCTCCTTGTCGTCTTTATGGAAGTATTTCCAAATGAGCGTCTTAGTTTTGGTATGAAACAAAGGCCCAGAAGCTCCACTGGTACTAGCTCCATCTTGTGTTTCCCCAGAGCCTGTAGGCCTACTGCCCTGAGCTTGAAGGTTAGGACTATACCAACCAGGAGCATCCTCGTCTTCACTCATTGCATAGCCAAAGTAACTTGTCACTTAAATTATTACTTTCCAACGTCAATATCTCAATATTTAACTCAAGTTTTTTTCCAGCCTAGTTCCTATGGCATATACTTATCTCACCACTCTCTATGGTAATAAGCAAATTAAATCAACTTTATACTGCAGTTGTTAGTAGTTGTTGAGTAGTTCAGTTGATTGAGAACACGTTATGGGCTTTGGTAGGTTGGCTATGCAACTTTTTAGGGTTATCAAAGCAAGTCCTAGTTCTGATTGGTTAAATAGTTTGGTTTTGTACCGTGGATCCAGTTTCATTGGCACAATGTACAGTTTGTCATTTCTGCACATCGAAAATCTGGATTTGATGGCCTTTGACAATGATCTGGCCAGTGACAAACCAGTCCCTCGCTCTACTTTTTTCAAGAAATTTAACAAGTAGTCTTCATTGGAGAAATCACAAAATTCTTTCTAATGTTTTTTCAAGTGGTCAATGAGACTGCCACAGGGTGGCCGCAGAACTCCTAGGGAAAAAACCACGCATATTTCCCGGTTTTTCTGGGCAAAAATCCTGTTCTTCCCAGTCACTATTTCTGTTCCCCAAGAATACAAAGCAAAATTGAGCAAAAATAATTATTTTTTTAAGAATCAAGGTGTGACACAATAAATGACTTACCTTGCTTCTTTATTGAGTTATCACTAGACTGAGCGGTGTCAGTACCAACAGATTCCTCAGCTTCTGGAGGATGAACATCTCCTAATTCTTCCATTTCTATTTAAGTCTTTACTTTTCAATGCTCCAGTAGGTCTTTGTCATGGAAAGGGATGTCCTTGAATCTTGGGTCTAGGATCGTGGAGCAGGCTAGTGTTCAGTTGCCTTCAATGGAGGGATATCTTCTTTTCATAGATGCAATTAAATCATTTTTAGGCCAATTAATCCTGAGCCGGTCACATCTGGATTTTAGATTACTGTGAAGATGGTGTGAATAAGTGGGATTATCTGAAAATAAAAAGGTTGCTTTCACATCAATTTAAAAATAAGTTGAACAGCTATGACACTTCTCGTCTTTAAATGCAAACATTTTTTTTGGTGTGCAAAGAAAAGGCCCTTCACGTCAACGTTGAAGATGTCCGTTGGGTTTCTGTCCTGGATAATTTCATCAAAATCTTTCTTCAATTGATCAGCTTCTTGCTGGTAAACAGCCCCATCACAAAGAAATGTAAACAAAATTTTATTTAATTTCTTGAAGCCTCTAGCCATCCAGTGCTAGCTTTAAAATGTCATTTGTCTAAACCTGTAGCAACTGTTTAGCTTTGCTTCTTACAAGTGGACCACTGACAGGAATCTTCTTATCCCTCGTTTGTTTGAACCATTTCAAAACACACTGGTCCATGTCAGGATTTTCAGGCACCCTCAACCTTTTCTGTCTTATTATACTCTCACTTTCACAACGGAAATTGTTGTCTTTATTTTTTAGGTAAGTTGACAACGTTTTGGGAGGAATCCCGAAAGTCTTGGCAATTTCAGATTTTTTAAATCCCTTTTCTACCTCTTTAATTGCCGCTATTTTTTTTCTGCTAACATCAATGTTTTGTATGAAATCCGAGGCTTTGATGATGTCATAGTCACTTTGTTCACACACTTTAAAACGCAGATTTAACCGTAGGCTAAGCCACAAGTCTAAATAAACCACTAAAGCTACTGTAGCACACACTACACTACCAGACAGGTATAAGGGATGACACCATTGTGAGCTACGAGGAGTGGAGCGTTGCAAACAATAGAAGGGTGGGTGGGGTTGGGCAATGACCTTGATTCGATACGAGTACCGGCCGCAGCCGTGAGTCATGTAAGCCAAACAGTCGAGTATTGGTGGGGCGGAGTGGAAGGAAGGGGTGGGTGCGACAACCTTTCCGCTATACAGTACGCGCTAAAGGGCCAGCGAGGTATTTTTACCAGCCAATGATAGAAAGTAGTTTTTCGGGAATTCCTAGCTCAATGATATGACTTTCGATCAGATTTTCTTGCATAGAAACTTCGCATTATTATCCAAAATATAATTTGAATGAAAGAAAATTTTGAATCACAGAAGTTCAAATTATTCAGATTTCACTGTATTTTGTCCTCAGTCTAAAACGACATAATCAGTACAACATCCTAAAAAAATTTAGGCTCGGTTTGGATACTGATATCCAAACCAAACTGACTCGAATTTTTGGATATCCGCAAACCTCTAGTGGGGATCTTTTTCCAGGAAAGACTCATGCACTTCCCCACGTGGGTGGATCTGAAGGGGGAGGACGCAGTGCCAGAGACGGTTCACCACGTGGTGGTCATGGTGGATCCTCAGAAGGACAACTCCTGGCACAACTTACGCCGCCACATCACCACGGATGGAGTACACCACAGTGACAACTGTAGACCCGGCAACAACACTGCAGGTAACCAACCACTAGATAGATTTATGACTGTTTGGTGCAAGAAACGAGTATATAATGAGGCAATGAGACCTTCCTTTTGTTGTCACATGATAAGTAATGCAACAATGAATGAACAACTGCAGTTATTAGACCATAATTAATGCCATTTTTGTAAACATGTTGATACGAAACCTATTTTGAGAACAGTGATTCTTTTGCAAAGACGGTTTGGACCACATTTCATCGTTTGACGACATGGCTCTGTTCCAGATCAGAAAGCGGTAGGGAACTGAGTAAAAGTGTTTAGAATAAGAACCTAAATTGTAAAAATATTAAGTAAAAGTCAAAACAATTTTTGTACGACAGCAAATATCAAAACAGTGTGAGTTGCAGTAACTAAATAGTCCAATGAGTTTTTCCAGTAAGCCTTTGTTACTGGAATCTTTCCGTTGGCTCTTTTTTTTCTTTGGGATTTCTCTTAAAAACTACACTTAAGTTCCGCTAATCCGAACATCTGCTTAATCAACACGTCCAATAAATTATTTTTCAATAAATTTCACTGATATAAGAAGTATATTATATTAAAGTTGAGTATAAAAGGCAATGGGAATGGTAAAATATGGTGAAATGAAGCATAAAGTACTCAATTAAAGAATACGATGGTTTGGTTATCAGGTAAAGATTAAATTTACTAAAGTTAATCAAAAACAAAGCATTATTTAGTATGAAATATTGAACATACCTTCCTGAAAAATCAACTTTGGTTACTTGTTTTTTAGACATGAAATCCCGCATCGTCGAATTCAAATTCATTCAAATTCAAATTCAAAACTTCTTTATTTGTTTTATGTACAGTAATACAATAAATAGCGTCACAGTTCCTTAATCTAACATTGCAATGAATTGTTCAGTCATACAGCATCAGCATTCACACTGATTAAATTGTACAACTCTTCAAGAGAGTAAAAAGCATTTCTGATTAAAAAACTTTTGAGTTCGCTTTTGAACTTGTTTTGATTTTCTATGTTCAATATTTCTTTTGGGATATGTTTTAAGAATACAGAACCGGCATAGCATGGTTTCTTTTTATATAGCTCAGAATTGTGAAAAGGTAAGACTATGTTTTTTTTATTTCTGGTATTGTATTTATGTATGTCTTCATGTGTTGTAAAATTGGCTTTATTTTTCCTGACATGCATAATACACTCAAGGATATACAAACTATAGACGGTTAATATATTTTGTTTAATAAAATGCTCCCTTACAGATTCATTAAACTCGAGATTTAACATGGCTCTTATAGCTCTTTTTTGACTAATTAAAATTTCACAAAGGTTTTGTTTGGTTGTACCTCCATAGACACAAACTCCATATGATATATGGGATTGCACGTGGGCATGAAAAACATTTTTTAGAACTTTTGAATTACAAAGATAATACAATCGTTTTAAGGCATAAATTCCTGAGTTTATTTTTGCTAAAAGATGGTCTATATGCAGGTCCCAACTAAGATGGTTATCGATATAAACTCCCAAAAATTTTGATTTATCTACCCTTTCTATTATATTATTATCAATAAAAATGTTAAAATCATTCTTGTTTCGGTTTTGTTTTGTAGTGAAATGAATGTAGTTAGTCTTCTGCGAGTTTAATATTAGATTATTGGATGAAAAAAAATCCTGAAGTTTACCTAATTCTATGAATGAATTGATTTCCATTTCCAAGCCAGTCTTTGCGGACATAATAAGATTAGAGTCGTCTGCATATAGTATGAGTTGATTTTTTATGTCCTTAAGTTTACTTAGATAGTTTGGCATATCCCTGATGTAACTAATAAATAATAAAGGTCCAAGTATTGACCCTTGTGGTACCCCGTGTTTGATTGGTTGCAAAATTGATTGATATTTTATCACTTGATTTCCTTCTGTTTTTGATATTTCTACATATTGACTCCTATTTTGAAGGTAACTTTCAAACCAATTTAAATATGAGTTTTTGACGCCTATACTACTTAATTTTTCAACAATTTTGGTATGGGATATGCTGTCAAAGGCTTTAGATAAATCCATAAAAATTCCAGTTACTATGTTTTTCTCATCCATTGATTCAATTACTGACTCAATGAAAGTAATTAGAGCGGTATTGACAGATTTGTCCTGTCTAAAACCATGTTGTTCTGGGCAAAAGAGATTATTATCGTTCAAATGCTTTACCAATCTTAAATACATGGCTTTTTCAAAAATTTTTGATATCGAAGGTAAAATAGAAATAGGACGATAATTTTGAATTTCTGTGTCATCTCCCTTTTTCAAGACTGGTACCACTTTTGAAATTTTGAGTTGCTCTGGAAAAATTCCTGAAATGAACGAAGCGTTGACTAAATGAACCAATGGCTTGATGAGTGGATCCCTAACAAATTTTATTACTTAACTGGTACCCCATCATAGCCACTAGACCACTTATTTTTGAGTGAATCAAAAATGGCAATTAGCTCTTTTTCTTCCATTGGCGGACATCTAAAATTTGGAATATGATTATCAAAACCATTATCATTATCATGACAACCATCCTGTGCCGGTGTCATGTCTTTTACCATATCATCTATTATAGTTACAAAATAATTGTTAAAACTATTGACTACTTCCCTGGGATTTGTAATTTCACCATTATCTGACCTTTAAGTATAATAATTTTTATTCTCTTTGTTTGTATTTTTTTGTGTTTCTTTATTTATGATTTCCCATGAGGCTTTACTTACATTTTCAGAGTTTTTAATTTTATTGTCATAATAGTCCCTTTTTAACTTTAATAGATTGAATTTATATTGTCGATTTTTTTCCTTAAATTCAGCTTTTAGGATTTCTGAGCCAGAAGATCTTGCCACTTTATTAAGTTCAATAAGATTATTTTTTTCTTCTTTTAATTCATGTGTAATCCAATTGTTTGTATTTTTTGTGATTTTTTTCTGAATAACCGGAAATGATAAATCAAAATAGTAGTGAAATATATTATGGAAGGTTTTATATTTGTCTTCGATTCGCGAGTTATAGAGTGATATCCAGTTTTCATTCGCCAAGAGTGATTTAAATAATGTCATATTATCAACAGAAAAACTTCTTCCCCGAAAGTGAATGCTTGGAGGATTTATTCTGTTAGGTAATAATAATAGTTCTATAATTTGCCCATCGTGATCGGATAAAGCAGTTATTACACCCTCTACTTTTACGGTTTCTTTATGAAAATTTGTTAAAACATTATCAATACAGGTTTTAGAGGTATCTGTGACTCGAGTTGGAAAATCTATCAAATAATCCATACCATGTCGTGTAAGAATATTCTTTAACTCCTTTGATTCAGGTGATACAACAAGCATATTTATGTTAAAATCTCCCATTATGATTAAAAATTTATTTTTATGTAACAGAATTTCAATAAGAGAATTCAAACGAATTAAAAACTCTGAATTATGTAATTGTGGTGTTCTGTATATTCCCACCAATGTGAAGCTGATGCTGCCCGACTTAAAAGTACAACAGCAACATTCAAACAGTTTATCCCGACATAGTACTTCGATTTCATCAGAAACCAGCTGTTTCCCCTTCAAACTCTCTTTGCATAAGATTGCAGTACCCCCACCGGTTGTTGTGCTGCGGGAGTATTGTGTGACCAGAGAGTAATTTTCTAGATTAAAACGTTCTAATTCAGTTCCATTCATTTTATGTTCGCTTAAAATGATTATGTGTGGATCTAATTCTGTTAAAATAACTTCTAGTTGTTCAATACGAGTAGATAAATTTTGGATATTCTGATGAAACAATCTGATATTTGAACTAATTTTATTTATCTTGGGTCTGATTCGTAATTTATTTGAGAGTTTAAAGGAGACTCATCTGGTGAAATGGTGAAAAGGGCTCATCTGCTGAAACGATAACAGGAGACTCATCTGGTTGGGTGATGTCTGGAGATAGTTCGGTTGTGATGTCTGTCTGTGGAGGGGTTGAACATTCTTCGGTGGTGATCAGCTTTATCAACTTTGTTACAAACTCCTCTTGGGAAAGCCCACGCCTCAGAACTCTCTTTGCTGTAGGTTGATCAGAGGTTACGATGCAGATAGTAGCACCAGTAGCACGATGGAAGTCCACAATCCTTTTGGCAAAGTGTTCTGGCAAGATGAGGTCTCTTATGCATCCTATTGGTGAGCAGATGAGGGTTTTAAGTTCTTTCTTCAAAAAATCTTCTTTTAATTGATTGAAAGCTGTGAGGTTAAAATTACCGGGGTGTCGAAAAACGTACCTCACAAATAAAGTTTGCCGGATAAAACAGTCGAAGCGTGGGTAATTTCGTCCAAGGTTCGATTGTTTACGTAAATACTAAGTCTAAGCTCAGAAATGAGTGTGAGTCAAGCAAAAGCTTACTCCAATACAACTCTTTTCATCACAGCTATCACAGACCTAGTAATCGATCGGAAATGAATTTTGGTCCTTCGAGCCGGATAATGCCTTGATGGCCAAAAGTCGTCGTAGGGCAAAATATGGACGCGGGCCGAAATCCCTAACGCCTATTCTAACCCCGAGCGGTGCAATATACAACTATTGCACACGCAACCTAACCGTACGGTGCAATATATACTATTGCACACGTTTTCCTACCGCTCGCTTAAATTAGTGCCTCGATGGCCGAATATCGTCGATGGGTAAAATAAACGCGGGCCGAAATCCCTAACGCCTATTCTAACCCCGAGCGGTGCAATATATAACTATTGCACACGCAACCTAACCGTACGGTGCAATATATGCTATTGCACACGTTTTCCTACCGTTCGCTTAAGTTAGTGCCTCGATGGCCGAATTGGTCCTTCGAGCCGGATAATGCCTCGATGGCCGAAAGTCGTCGTAGGGTAAAATATGGACGCGGGCCGAAATCCCTAACGCCTATTCTAACCCCGAGCGGTGCAATATACAACTATTGCACACGCAACCTAACCGTACGGTGCAATATATACTATTGCACACGTTTCCCTG